ACACACACACACCTTTCATTCGCAAATATCTCGACTTGTATTCAACATTAATGGATAATTTTTTCGTCCAAAGCAAGACAATTGAACAAGCTTTAAGTATGGTACAAATAGCTCCATATGCCTAAAAATTGATGAGAGCCTAATTCCACCGCGTCAAGACACATTTGATAAGGTAAGTATTTCTGCATTATTTGCAAGTATACTTTGTCTGCTTTCACTTTGAAATGCTTAGTGTCAACGTTTTGTGTGATGTCATTTAGTTATATCCTTAGATGATTGTGTCTTTGTGTATTGAGTTTGTTTGTTTGTTTGTTTGACAGGAAAACTGAGATATGCAAACAACTCCAACTACAAGAACGACACCATGATCAGAAAAGAGGTACTTTGTTTTAGCTTATAGAGTTTTAAGAAATATGGAGGCAGTAAAATCCTTGTTTTTCCAAGTAAGGGATTTTTTTCAAACAGAAAATGGTGAGTCTGCAGCACAAGCCCGGTCTTTGCAGGCTTTGGGGGGGAATTATGTATCATGAATCATTGTTACTTTATTTTATCTACAGCTTTATGTAAGGTTGAAAACACAGAACCTTGTTTTATTACATCAGAGGTTGTTTGCTTGGACAGGAGACATTGGGAAGCTAAATTATCACATTTGTGGTGTGTCTCAAATATTGGTTTTCTGCAAACTATTGAACTTTTTATCAGTCCTATGTTAGATAATCCTGTAACCTTATTTGCTTCTCTTGGATGGAAAGAAATTTAGAAGATCAAGCAGCATAAATATCTGGTAAATTTTGGATTATAAACTTGATTAATGTTATGTTGTTATGTGGCATCATTAAGTTCAAGTTCGGGGTGTTTGGAACGCCAACTGGTGATCTGATTTCATCATTCACTTACATTTTCAGGCATTTGTTCACAAATCTGTGATGGAGGAACTGAAAAGAATAATTGAAGATTCTGAAGTCATGCAGGAAGACGACAGTGCTTGGCCATCTCCTGACAGAGTGGGACGACAGGTTTGTATATGTCAAGCATGGATAAATCTGGCTTGTGAGCAATGTCAGTCCAGCTCACAAGTCAACCGAGGAATAAATAATGAATGTGGCTGATAATCAATAAAAATATAATTTTCAGTTTTGAATATACAGTCGAACCTGCCATGTCGGCCACTTTCCTTTTCCCCCCTTGTGTTTTTTCTATGTAAGAGGGACGTCCCGAAAGTAAGTACCGTTTTTAAATAATTATAAAAGAAATAATTTTCACAATCAAAATGATTTCTTTTTGAATACCTCATATAGATGACTACTTCTCCACGTAGTCACTAGAACTGTTGAGGCATTTGTCGTGGCGTGGGACGCGCTTCTGAATGCCTCATCGTGTGTGAGGTGACTGGTCACTGTTTTGTTTACCTAATCTGTAACAAAGTAACAATGGACGTTGACGTGAACTTGTGACAGAAGAGTCACTCGTTCTCCGAGTGGTGCGACCTGTGTGTTTGTTTGTTTATTTTACCCTTGCACAAAATCAGCAACAAAAAGAAAGTTAACCAAAAAAACAAAACAACAATACAAAAAACTTTCTTACACCAACCATTCCGCTTTTTCAAAAGAAAACAAAAACTCTCTTTTGAATTAGCCTTATTGCAATCTAAAGCCTGAGATCAGCCCCGGTTTGGACCTCAGAAGAGAGTGATTTGCTTTCTTCATTTTGATCAGTCCTGTCTAAGATGGCCACCTGCGTTATATGGCCACTTTTCTCCTTGGCAATGGGTGGCCGTTTTACGCAGGTTTGACTGTACATGAGAATTAAAAGTTTCCAGCCCATCTGGAAGCAATAGATCTAGTCGAATATTTTATCTCATGAAATACCATATATGCTAGAGTGTCAATGTGAGTCTCATTTTTTAAACTCTTTCCGGACGTATGGGCGCGAGTCCACACCCCTTGCGGGTATATCGCCATTATATCGGCTCTGATAGGGTGCTTCAGTATTGCTTCATTTTAACACAATCCGCTCTTTTATAATTACTTTTTATTGCATTGAAAAACTCTGAAAGGATTTAGGAAACGAAAACATCTAGTTTCACTTTGTCAAAACGTGGGTTTGGGGAAAAACGAGTGAATTAGTTCTTGCAGTCTTGCATCAACAAAACGATGTAACTGGACTCAGTATAAATATCATAAGTCAAACAAAAATTGGAATATTGCTTTCAAATAAAAGGCTGCGCATTCATAAATGTATGGATTATGCTCTTGGCCTGTATATGATAAGATAGCTATACTGATTGCTTTCACATGTTTGGTGAATGTAATTTTTCCAGTCAAAAATTATTTTTCTCATCACCATCGCCATTTCTAACCCTTATAATGCATACTTATGTTCAAAATTAATCCTTGTTTTATATTGGGGTGTATTCCTCATTCAATTTCGTATATCATATGTTACGTTTGGAGTGATGGTTATGCTTCTATGAAGTTTTTTTGTACACCACCTGCTTAGCCAAATCAAGCCACAGGTTAATTATGTCTAGACCCCAAAAAAAACTATGTCTGGAAAGAGTTAAGCTTGGGTATTTCAATCGCTTTTACCCAATTTCCTCTTGCTTTAGTAGGCAAGATATTCAGAATTGTTCCATCCAGCCCACAACGTGGACATGCTTGCCCATACCTCATTATATATATATATATATAACGTCTTTGGGTGTTGCGTTGTTTTTGTCCTTATCTGCTTGGGGCTTTTTTAATTCTTCTTTATCTTGGCCTGAGAGGCTTTGTGGACTCTTGGTGCATCACCTATTATCTGCTTTGCAATGAATACTAAAAGTACTTTTTCATGTTCGGATAATATGAGATGACACTATACAGTGGGTGTTGCATTCAATGAGGTTGCGGGGACCGGCTTGTTGTCCTCGTTGGATCCGACCTCTCGTTGAACGTGACTAAGGCTTTAAAAAAAATGAAAGGAGACAAGTCATTATGTTACATGATGTACCAATACCAGTAATTAAAACAGTTGTTCCCCCTGATGACAAAAATCTCTAACAGCATCAGTCAGTGTGCACGAGTTTGAGCTGTGTTCTGACCGTCATTTCTGCACTTTTAAATATTTTTTTTCCGGAACACTTCTCGTGTGGAAACATACCCTCTCATATCTAGGCTTAGATCTACATAAAGTAAAGGCGGGAGGTTGGATTTTCTGATCAGGGGAAGAAAAGAAAACTGGAAAAAATGAAGGTCTCGATCTAGACCTACTCGCCCAGAGTTCATCCAGTTTCATACAGCCCGCATCACGTTCCCACCCACCTCCTCCCATCTCTACCTTAGGCTAACCCTCGTATATCCTCTTGGCTTTGGGGCCCATATTAGGAGGCACACTAGATCTAGCAGTTCAATGTGTTAGGAATGGAGGATGGGCCTTGTGCTTCGCGGGAGATGGAGAGAAAGGAGAATAATTCTTCGCTTTTGGGGCCGCTAATTGCATTTACTCGGTTATCACAACCTCGTTGAAAGCGACTTCGGTCTGTTTGAAACCTCGTTGGAGCTGACGTACATTTACAAAGAGATATAGAGGAAAAAATCAGGGATTAAAGATTGCCTTGTTAGAGCCGACTTCTCGTTGAATGTGACCTCGTTGAATACGACTCCCATTGTATTGTTATTGCTGTCTAGCACACAGCAAAGACATTCAACAACAATAAGAGAAGAACAATCATGGTTGCCTACTTTTCTCTGGCTATCTTAATCAACTATTATGATATTGATGTGCAATGATGACTTTATCGACCTTCGTACACATGCATATTATCCCTTACAGGAACTGGAGATTGTCATAGGAGATGAGCACATTTCCTTCACAACTTCAAAGATTGGGTCATTGCTGGATGTCAATCAAAGCAAGTGAGTATATTTTACTCTGTCAGTATCACCTGATCATATTGGATTTCATCTTTGGAAAGTGAAATTTATTTTTACTTTACATTCTGCAAGATATGTGTCACGACATGGTGAAATTAGCATAGCTGCCACTTTCCACTAAATAGCGGAAACTCCCGGAAACTCCGCTTCCTCTAGCTTTTCCCGTTGCTTTCCTCCTTCCTCCGCTGGACCACTCTCAGTCGCAAATTGAGATACTTTTTTCTACACGCGGAAAACACCGAACCGGGGGTGAGACTGTCGATCAAGCATCGGGACGATAGCACCCGCAGTTGTCATTGAAAACAGCGGCAATTCGAGAGAGATTGATGCAGAATGCAAAAATAAATGGAGCTAGCTGGATTGAGAAAGAAGCAGATGGTGTGCGACTTCAACGGTTCATTAGAAAATTGAACAAGCCGGGTGCTGCACTTTGCGTTTGGTACAATATAAAGAAATCTTGTAGCGGTACATAGGTGTTGCCTCCTCCAATAATGAGTTGCTTTACCTCATTGCACGAGTCCAAAGGGAAAGACTTCTTTTTCTGAGACACTAGCTGGCATCAAACAGTAGATTTTATGAGACACTAGCTGGCATCAAACTAGATTTTATGAGACACTAGCTGGCATCAAATAGTAGATTTTATGAGACACTAGCTGGCATCAAATAGAAGATTTTATGAGACACTAGCTGGCATCAAACAGTAGATTTTTCGTCACCAAACTTGGTCAAGTGCTTGTTATGTCGAGACACTAGCTGGCATCAAACAGTAGATTTTTCGTCACCAAACTTGGTCAAGTGCTTGTTAGTGTCTAGGTTTGTTGTTGTTTTGTTAGGTTTTTCAAATACATTTAATTTAATTCAGTATGGTCAACAAATATAACCCTTTTCCCTTCCAAAAACATAGAAGTTCCAAAATATTGCCTCTGGATCTTATTGGTTTTACTCCAGCCTTTGGAGAGCACATGTGCACCTTCTCCTGAATTTCCTCCTTTTTTGAAATTCCTGAGTGGCTGCTATGAATTAGGCGCTCATCAATTTTTGGGCATGCAGAGATATTGAGATCGTCTTAAAGTTTATTCTTTTGTCCAGCTTTCAATAACAGTTGCCCCAACCACGGGATAGAAGAAGAAGAAGAAGCTTTCAATGATAGGAAAAATTACCCATGTATCTCAAGTAGAAGTCAGGATATTTGCGACTGCAGGAGGTCGGGGGCGCCTGGTTTCAGGTATAAATATAGCGAGAAAATGGCCACCAAACTTTCATAATTTGAGAGTCGTTGTAAACTGAAAGTTTGCAATTTTTATGCCTTTAATCGTTTTTCAGTTAAATCCACAGAAAAAATATTTTTTATGGAAGTAAAAGGTGTTGAGCCTAGAAAAACAAAATTTGATACAATTTGACAAATCTGGGGAAAACAACAGGTCTCTTTGATTCCTTTATTTTGACAACCACCTGATTTCACAATGATGACCTGTGTGTGTTTGAGAAAGAGAGAGTGAGTGAGATCTGTCCAATGCATGGTAAGTTGACTCTATAGCTTCCCATTTGAAAGAGCTGCATCTCCCAACGCTTAATGGCAACAGAGGATGAAAAAGTTTTTAAAAAAATAAAAGTAAAGCTTAAATTTCAAATCTAACTGACACAGACAATCAGGCATGAGGAATCCAAATGACACAGACAATCAGGCATGAGGAATCCAAATGACACAGACAATCACGCATGAGGAATCCAAATGACACAGACAATCACGCATGAGGAATCCAAGTGACACAGAAAATCAGGCATGAGGAATCCAAATGACACAGACAATCAGGCATGAGGAATCCAAATGACACAGACAATCAGGCATGAGGAATCCAAATGACACAGACAATCACGCATGAGGAATCCAAATGACACAGACAATCAGGCATGAGGAATCCAAGTGACACAGACAATCAGGCATGAGGAATCCAAGTGACACAGACAATCAGGCATGAGGAATCCAAGTGACACAGACAATCAGGCATGAGGAATCCAAATGACACAGACAATCAGGCATGAGGAATCCAAATGACACAGACAATCAGGCATGAGGAATCCAAGTGGACATGGTGTGGATGGTGCCAGCCTCCTTACACTAGGGTGTTCATATATGACTATGAGGGTGGAGACCTTGGTGGGCCTGCCTCCATCTGGTTTCGATTAGGAGTGTCTATGAGGGGGGGGGGGGGGGGGTTGCCAAGCCAATCAGTGGGTATGGAACCAGAGGAGGGTAAAGAAAAGGATTTGGAAGCGCGTTCTTGTGTGTGTGTGTGAGGGAGAGAGGGGGTGTGGTTTGTAAGTTTACGGCGAAATTTATCTGTACTTGCATAAAATGCAGCCTTTCTCTGGAGCTGATTATGTTTTTAGATTAATAAGATGAATGTTTGGAGTGATTTTCTTTTAGTCAGAACACAACGTTCTATGTTACTGTGGTACATTGTATTGTGTTGTATAATTTAATCAGGGTTTAGCGCTATATAGATGTCATTTATTGTTATTGTTTTATTATGTTGCATTCCTGAGTATGGTAAAAATGTAACATTTTGTAAATTTTCCTTATTCTCACGATGGACTTTTGATCACTAAAATCTTTGTAAACATAAATGTTATTTGGTACAGTACATTTTAGACAGGCATGTTTTTGACATAGCTTTTAAAGAGTAACTATACTAAATGGGATTCTGGATTGCAGAAAGTGAATGTTATATTTTCAGACAAGTATGTTATACTGAGGTTTTACTGTGTCTTTTTTTTTTTCTGCAAATCAGCATCCCAGCACACAAGCAGCCGAATTTACCCATGTCAAATCACACAAAATAATTGTCTTGTGTGCGCTTTCCATATATATATATATATATATAATAAACTGAAATTTAACATAAAAAGAAAATAAACCTTAACAAAACGTCCAGCTGCTTTAGCAATTTCTAGACCCCTTATTGTCTTTAGTGTTTGACCCCACTTCACCGTGTGACTCTTATTGTCATGTTGTGCTCATCGCTGCATAGGGGAATAGCTTGTCTATGCTATGA